ATCTCCTTCCTCCTCCTTCCCTCTTCTTCTCCCTCTTCTTCCTTTTTCTTTCCCCTCCTTTCCTTCTACCATTATCCTTCCCTCTTTCCAGGTACTGCCCCCCAGCCGCACCTACCTCAACCCCACACCACACCCGTTCCCCACCACTCTCAGACCTGGAGGAGGACCTGGATCTGTCTCTGAGCACAGCAATGGCAGCAGCACGCCGTGCCCGCGTCACCTCAAGACGGCTGGGCCAGGTGCTGGCAGCAGAGCTGGGCCGGGCACGGGCAGTGCGGAGCTCCTGCCTCTTCTGAACAGCATCATCCCATCCCATCCCATCCATACTGTGGGAGGAGGCACAGAGCCAAACCCGTCCTGCATCTCCCACATTTTTATAGGTCCTACCAAAACACCGCTGCGTTTACCTCAGTGCCAAGCTGGTGCAGAAGGAGCCATTTCCACAGCCCATCTCTCGCTGTTTTCAATGTTTTTTAGGGTGATTTTTAGGGTTTCTCGGTACGCTGCACACACCCCCCATCTCCCCCCCCCAGCTCCAGCCAGAGCCTGACCCCATGGATTGGGGCTGAGCTTGGGGTTTGGGTGCTGTCCCTACACCCTGCTGTACCCCAGGGCCACTCTCCTCTCTGCATTTTTCCCCAGGGTACCATTGTCAGAGGGTTGGTTGACCATATATAATGTGTGTGTGTATCTATATATAGGTACATACACGTGGTTGGTTTTACATTTCCAGCACAACCCTCAGGGAGTTTTTCCCCGTAACTTAGTGCTGCACAGCCCTGCAATGTGCATAATGATGCTGGGTGAGGTTGAAGGGCTGCAATGAGGGGGGATGTGGGGTCCCTCCCTGCACATGGCTTCCTGGGAGGGTAGAAAAAGAAGAGAGTGGTAGTGTTCCCTTTGGGATTCCTGAAGAAATTGGGAGTTTTCTTTGGGATGCTCAAAGAAAAGCGAATTTTCTTTGGGATTCTTTTCTTTAGCAGTGTGATTTTTCTTTGGGGTTCTCAAAAGCAATGCAAGTTTTCCTTGGGATTCCCGAAGAAATTGGTATTTTCTTTGGGATACCCAGAAGCAATGTGATTTTTCTTTGGGATTACCAAAGAAATTGGTATTTTCTTTGGCTTTCCCAAAAGCAATGCAGATTTTCTTTGAGATTCCCAAAGAACCACAGAATCATAGAATTGCTCAGGTTGGATTTCTTTGGGAATACCAAATCAACATGACTTTCCTTTAGGCTGGTAGAGTCAAGCCAGCCCTGTGAGCCCCAGGCACGGGCAGATCCAGCCCTATGATGGCACCCAGCACTCCTATTCCCCCTGCTTTATAATAAATGCCTATTTTTGTAGCAGAACTGCTGTTGCACAGCGATGGAGGCGGGGGGGGGTCCATCCCCATACTGATTCAGCCAGAACCCCCCCCTCTTCCTGCCCCCAGCATCCTCCAAGCACCACATTTTCTTAGCAGGGGCTGTCCCTGTGTTTCTGTAGGTCCTACCTAAAGTGCCCAACTTGTTTACCATCAGATTTTTTCCTATAATAACTTATTATTGAGTCTTCCCCCCCCCCCCACCCCCTCCCAAAGAGCTCACACTGAGCCCAAGGGGGGAAGCAGGGACGCCCCAGGGGCTGCGTTCAAGCAACGGGGAGGAGCAAAAACGATGCTTTTCCCACCTCTCCTCTTTTCTAACCACCCCTGTATTTTGTACCTATAACTGCCTATTTTTGAACAAAATAAACGGGGTTGTTTTGCTGGTGGCTTTTCTCCTTCCTGGAAGCGAGAGCCTCTGTGCACTACAGATGGAGATCGCGTTTATTGAGTCACTGAGTGCTTTAGTACAGAACAGATATACAGAGATGATACATGTTTGTGCTTCAACACTTCCAAACATTTAGGTTTCCAGTAACTTCAAGGTAAACAAGTTCCAAGACAGACTAGTTTTTGTTTTCCTTTTTTTTTTTTTTTAAGTTTTCCTTTTTGATAAATTATTTTTTATATAAATAACTGTAACAGAAAAAAAAAATTAATAATAATAATAATTAATAATAACGTCCAACGTAGGGGATCCTGAAGCATGGCTAAACTTAAGGAACTCAAAAGAGGGCGGGGGTAACCGACGAATATCAGTGCAATGATACAGCCTTTGCCCTAAAAATATATCTTTAACTTTATGGGCAAGGAGCAGAAAGGGAAAGGAAGGGGGGGGGGG